GGAGGGAGGGGAGAGCTAAAATCTAAAATAGCCTTTTCCTCCGTCTTCACAACACACCCCAAAGGGGCTCCTGGCTCTTCCTGTTTGCAAAGCCCTTTGCACCGGCTATCAGCCATCTCTGTGGGGCGCTGCTAGCAGCGATCTTACCCCAGGAAACCTTGCAGAGACATCCTCCCCCCACGGCGGATTCTTCCCCACACCCCCAAAAAAGGCAAGACCAGAGTGCACTGCAGGAGCCGTACTCACTGTGAATTCTGTGGGTGTCATGGTGGGTCGGAGGCGAGCTCGCTTCTAGAGGGAAGGCAAAAGTCAGCGAGGGCTTGTCAACGAGCAGCGATGCACACCTAGGGACGGAGGCTAAATGTTACACCTGTGTTTCCCATGAAAAAAAGTCTCAAGCAAGGGTTGGGTCCACGTTAAGCCATCAGGTATCCCAGATTCCAGCGTCACCGGGGCTGCTGGCGCAGCCGAGAGGAGCCCTGCCTCTGAGCCCTGGCTCAGCATCCCAGCTCGCCCTGCTCCCGTTAGCTCCTTAGCCCCCTTTCTCCTGCCTCCCTTCTCTGCTGAATTCCCCTCCCCCCATTTTATCAACCTGAAGGTCACAGGACCGCAGTGACCCGGGAGTGCCCTGGCCCAGATTCCGCAGGGGAAGGGACTCTGGGTAACCAGGTGGCAGGGACATGGAAGCTGGGGTTCCTCTCCTGCAGGGCCCCGGCGCCCAGCGCCTACCTGCACGCTCAGTTTACAAGCTCAGAGAAGGGTGACGGGCCCTATTTTCCCTGGACCCCGACTCCAGCAGGAAAGGGGAGTCCCAGGCTCGTTTACAAAGGAAAGGTAGTGGCCTGAGGCGCAGGGCCTCAGCTGGCTGGAGTCGGCCTCCACTGTTATTTCCATGAGTTCGAGTCTCTGTAAAACCCAGACGCCCGGAAGACCAAGGGGACGGCAGCTGGGTCCCTCCAGGGCAGGGTCTGTGCCTGAGCGGGCGGTGCCGTTCTTACCTGCCGTGTCCAGCGCCACACCCCAGGTTCTAGAAGAAAACTCTCCTTCAGCGACTCGACCCTAACCTGTGGGTTTCCTTTTCATAACACAGCGTCGTGACTCATCCTGCTTTTCTGAAAGCCCAGTGGTTTTCAGAGCATGCCCTATGGTACAACCACTTTGGAAAACGGATTTGTTGGTTTCTTAAAATGCGCCGAGTGTACGTGCATGCACGCCCCGTGTGGCCTAGCCATGCGCCCGAGCGTTTCCCTGAGGAAAACGCAAGCCTGTGTCCGCACAAACACCGATCTGCCAGCATTATAGCAGCTTTATGTGCAACGGGCACAGGCTGGCGACAGGCCCGGCATCCGTCAGGTGCAGCGAGCGGGTAAATAGAACGGGGACCGTCCCCAGGCCGGAGCCGAGGAGAGCGGCTGATGCGCACAGCCGCCCGCTGGGTCTCACGCAGGCGCGCCGAGGGCGGAGGCCGGGCCAGAACACGCGGTGCGACTCCACTGCATGAAGTTCTAGAAAACGCAAACTAACCTGCGGTGAGGAATAGGAAACTTACCTCACCTCGCAGGATCTCCCCCTAATTACGGGCTGCCTACTGACTCTATCAGTCTCTCCCTCCCTCCCGTCTCTCTTCTGAGTCATGCTCTTAAAAAAAATGTATTTTAAAAAATTGCCCAGTTAAGTTTGGAAGATCCCAGTTCAACCAATTTAATTTTACTACAGCTTGGGGGATAGGAAGATTGATTTGGGGGACATTGGTTGGAAAACACTTTATATATTTCGGGCTGAAAACAGGGATCGATGGTAGTGATGTTGGTAAGAGTTTGGGGAAAGGCCTCCACGCTGCTGTGGGGAGTGCAGATTTCGGTGATCTTTTTAGAGGGTTCAGCTGTATCTGTCAAAATCACCAAGCACAGCAGCTCAGACTCAGCCGTTCGCCTGTTGGAAACACGCCCCACTGGTGTTCTCACAAAAGAACATAAAGATTCACGGACAGGGATATAGGTTGCAGCATTTTTTTTTTCCAGAACAAAAAAACTAGAAACAACCTAAATATCCAGAGATTGGTAATATTCTGATACATCCGTTCAATAAACCAGCCGTAGCCAATAAATAGAATGAAATGGACCTCACGCTGGTACAAGGGGGTCACCCAGATCATTAGGTAGCGAGGCCGGGTTTGGGGACCGTGTCGCGTGATCTTTGAAAATGCATGTTAAAGGTCCGCACCCCACTGCTGAGTCATACTGAAGCGTTTTCTGGAAGGAGCTTGAACAGGGGCCGGTGGGATGTGAGACTTCTGTTTTTCCCTTTAGGTTTTGTGAACTATTTAAATGTTTTACTTTGTGCATGAAATCTTATTTTAAGAGCTGTCATAAAAACAACCTCTCAGCTTTTTTGAAAACAAGAAGCCCCAGTGCTCTTCCGCCCCGTGAAGCTGTTTGCAAAGCTCATCCAAAGGAGGAACTTGGGGCCACTCCCGCCGGCCTGCGGGCCGCTAGCCCGAGAGCGGTCTCGGCATCAGGCTCGGCTTTTTATCCAGGCTTGTCTTTCCTCCACGATAAATGTGTTTCTGGCTCGTAGGGAATTTGGAGAGAGCCAAAGAGTAAAAATGAACCATCTTCCTCCCTAGCGACCAGCAGCCTTTCTCTGTAGTCCCCTCTACTGTTGTTGTTGTTGTTTTTTAATATGTCTTTATTGATTTCAGAGAGAGGAAGGGAGAGGGAGAGAGAGAGAAACATCAGTGATGAGAGTCACTGATCGGCTGCCTCCTGCACGCCCTGCACTGGGATCGAGCCCACACCCCGGGCACGTCCCGGGACCGGGAATCAAACTGCGACCTCCAGGTTCATAGGTCAATGCTCAACCACTGAGCCACACCAGTCGGGCCCCCCTCTACTCTTTGTCAGAATACTTTTTGAATATTTCATTCATAAACTGCAAAGTCTTAGAGCTTGTTTCATTTTCTTCTTGCCCCTGAGAAGGAGGGAAAAACAGGGGGCAGGGGGACGGGTATATGACAAAATACACCGAAACTGTTGGGAGTGTCCTGCTGTTTGATGCAGCGATGGCCCAAATCTCTCCTTACTGCTCAGAGCGGCCTCGTTATGGGCTCTGCGCCGCCCAAGTCTGTAGAGCCAGCCTGTGTCCTGCAGCACCGCGGGTGAGGCAGGGGGACACAAAGGACCAGAAGGGAAAGACCCCATCTGCCCCTTGGTCATCCCTTCCTGCCTGTGGGACCGTGGCAAGGAGTGGCGCACCCTCCCTGAGCTGGGTTTCCGCATCTGTAACATGGAGGTGACAGCCAACCTAGTCCAAGGGCTCGTGGGGAGGGTCAGGGCAGCACTGTGCGTGAATGCCCTTTGCGGGACGCAGAGAGCTGCGTGAGAACGGGCCGTTCTTCATCCCCCAGCTCACATTCGAGCCCAGTGGCTAGCTCATGGCTGCAAATACCAACAACGGTAAATGCTATGAACTGCTTCGGGAATTAAGGGAAAGAAGTCATGTTCTCCAGCACTGGGAAAAACCCAGGAGGTCTTCACTGAGGAGGTGATGTTTTTGCTGGCCCTTGAAGGCTGGAGATCATGGGGACATACAATGAGGGGAGAGAACTTTGCCCCAGGGCAGGGAAACATATCAACAGAGGCATGAAAGGCAAAAAGCAGGAGATGGGGGCCGGGGGTTGTCTTGGAGGTAGAGGAAAGCAAGGGAGTTGCTGAGTCTCCAAAAATGGAACGTGCCTTTTAGACAAGTTAGCCTGGAACCGGACAGGAGTCGGGAGTGTGAGTCCTTCCTTTGATCTTGTCCAGTTTGCTCCAGGACCAGGCGCCCCCCCAGCCTCCCCCCCCATAGGCACCGACCTGGGCCCTGGGGGCTCCAGTACGAGCCTGTGAGTGGGGCTTCAGAGCAGATAGACAGATGTTGTTAGAAAGAGGCCGTCTGTCGGCTTGGGCCTGCTCCGTCCCGCGGGGGACGGGCCCACGCACACTGGCGGCTGCACCCCATCCCCGTCCAACGCTCCGCACGGCTCCCCTGCCCCGCCAGCCGGCTGGGGAGCAGCAGCTGATTAAAAACCAACAGGGGGGTGTGTTTGAAAAGACAAAGCTGTATTCTTTGATGAGTCATTTAACAAAAAGTAGCTTGGCTGCTTCTGGTCATAAAGGAGTATTTCCACACTGTACCGAGAAAATCCCCCAAAGCAAACATGTATAAGAAAAGAAAAAGGCAGACGCCCCTTTCCTAGTTTAGCCATGGTAACTGTCAGAGGCGCCCCGTCCTAGATGTTTCTCTGGAACGCACGCACACGCTCTGCATGGTAAGGAAATGCGACTGCAGGCACAGTGCTCATCTTGCTTTCCGGTGGACAGTCCCTCGTGGACCACTTTTAGTGCCAATTCAACCTGGAGCTGTAACACCCGACTGAATGGCCGCCGAGTATTTCTCGGCCTGGATGGGCTGTAACCTGTTTAACCATAGCTCCTGGGCATCTCACTCCCCACCCCGGGATCCTGGCTCCCATGACCACTGGACAAGCACACGAAAGCCTGGGTTTTAGAAGCTGTTGTGACGGCACACAACTGAGGGCACAGGTGACCCTGGGACGAGAGGAGAACGAGGAAGGGTGATACTCACAGCGAGGGCGGCAGGAGAGGCTCCAGGAGAAGGTGACCCCCAGCTGCCGGGAGGGCCCGCCCGCTGTCTGCCGGGGGCGAGAGGCTAGGCTTCTATGAGCTCTGAGCAGGCGGCGACCCGCTGAAAACATCAGAAAGGAAGCCAGGCCACCCCTGTCTGTGTTGTCACTGGTGGGGTGGCCCGGGAGGGTGGGGAGGGGGGTGTCGCCAGCTGCAGCTTTCAGCAATTAGCAGAGTCGATGGTTTGCAACCAGAAATGAAAAGCCAGGAACTGCTGGGCTAAGCCCAAACCATCTCGTCTGGAGACGCGTGTACGGGCTGACCGTGCACAGACGCCCCTTCCTGGGCTGCGGAGCCACTCGCAGGAAAAGGGAAGTGCGGGGTCCCGGTGAGAGCCGTGCGCCGCGGGCGAGCTGACGGTGTGCATCTGGAAGGCCTCTTCAGGTGGCAGTGTCTGAACGGGCCTGTGCGGGATCATCCCCCCAGCGTTGTCCATCACCACGGAGCCCTTTAGGCCTTGGCCTGAACCCATAGAGCAGCGCCTTCCAGTACAGTCACTGGTGGTCACATGTGCCTATTTAAATTTAAATTAATTCAAATATAACTAGTTCCTTGGTCACACTCACCACATGGCAGGTGTGA